ACTGACTATACAAATATTCCAATACTGGCTATACAAACATTCCAATACTGACTGTATAAATGTTCCATACTGGCTATACAAACATTCCAATACTGAATATACAAACATTCCAATATTGACTGTATAAATGTTCCATACTGGCTATACAAACATTCCAATACTGAATATACAAACATTCCAATACTGACTGTATAAATCTTCCATACTGGCTATACACATATTCCAATACTGACTATACAAACATTCCAATACTGACTGCATAAATGTTCCATACTGGCTATACAAATATTCAACAGTTTTCAAAACTTATAAAGTCCATTGCAAAACAATATCATGTCCTTTCACCTCAACACCAAGCCTTTGTAAACATGCAGTAGAACAGTCACCACCCCCAGACAGCCTTTGACCTCCCGACCACTCTGGGAAATATACTAGGACGACTTGATGTCTATTTCTCACGTGGACATGGCCCTTACAACAGCTGAACAAAGCTTGTCAATTACATTTTATTACAACTCCTGTCTAACACTGTAGGCAGCAGTGGTAATCAGCTGATTGCATTCACTGCCGCATCACATGGAGAATATGTATTGTGTTGGCTTAATGGGCCTGTGAGAGTATGTCTACAGCTTGCACACTGCGGCGCCTGGTACGTACTGCGTGAAAAGAAACTATACTGAAGGACAAAAATAAGGGAACAGATGTCAAGAGAAGGACTTATTTCACGTGACATTCTGTGTGTAGGTTGAAGATGGTCTCAGATTCTTTGGCTATTCCAAAGATGTAACAAAGGTTATATTTGGGATAATACTCTCTTTATAAAGAACAGATTCTGGTACTTTTGGGGTTGAGTCCTGTCTGGGACTCGAACCCACACTTTCAGAGTGAGGTACCTAATCAACCATATCATTGATATGATGTTATAATACGGTTGTAACTGGTGTTTTTAATGTTATAAACTGGATGATATTGGAATACAAATGTTCTAATGAGTGTGTGTGTGAGTAAGTGAGTATGTGAGTATGTACTGTTATATTGTGTGAACCGATGCTCATGAACACATCACATGTGACGTCATAGATCCATGACTCGAGATGCACCATTTGTGTCGTGCAGTATTAGCATGTAAAGTTTGGAAATCACATGCAGCATATTGTGATAAGAATAAAAACATGCTGTGGTAACACTTGATTGATTGTGAGATTTGTCATTAATTGGTACACATTGGAAACATCTCTTCTTAACGTACATACTTCTCTTTATGTTTCTATCTTATCTATCTGTTGCGTATCTTTTGGTGGTGAGGATATATGATTGACAGGGTGAAACAAACATGTAACATATAAAGTTTTATGTAAAAGTAGATTTCAGAAAATGTATTTAAAGAGCATATATCATATCTAGTGGGATATAAAGAGCATATTACACATCAAGGTAGATAAATGAGCTTGTATCATACAATGTATGATACGAAGAGCATGTATGACATCAAGTTAGATATAAGAGCATGTATCATAGAACACAAGATTTGAGGAGCATGTACCATAGGAAATGGGATATGAAATACAGAAAGTTGTTTCAGTAAATAGTTTCATGTCATTCCTTATATAAAATGTGAATTGTTATTTCAGAAAGATATACATTTAAATATGATAATATTGTAGTGAAGGACATACAAATCAGTGGCGGTTTTCAACAAATTCATAGGTTCTCAGATGTTGAATATGAAAATCACTGGCTACAAACAGTTGAATTTTGCATGTATAGGATAGAATAGGTCTTCAGCAACCCATGCTTGTCGTAAAAGGCGACTATGGTCAGGCTCGCTGACTTGGTTGATGCATGTCATCGATCCCAATTGCATGGATCGACGTTCATGATGTAAATCACTGGATTGTCTGGTCCAGACTCGATTATTTACAGATCGCCGTCATATAGCTGGAATATTGCTGACTGGGTGTAAAATAACAAACCAAACCAAATGCATGTATAGGATACCAAAATATTGGATGCAAATTACAAAAGTTTCAAAATTTGAGATACAGAATATGGAATCGGAATGAAATTATTTAAAACAACTGCAAGGTACAGGCTATATCAATTAAAATATTCAAAGTTTTAATTTTGCTAATTTTATGAGAGATATCATGTACACATGTCCAAATGGAAACATATCTTAGCACCTGATGCCAACATTTCTTGCATGTGATGATAACTAGACAGGGGTGAATATGTTATTCTGCTGGAGACTCTGAAAGTGTTGTGGCTTGTCTGCTAGGCTCTTTGTAATCAATGTAATTGGGTTCCAGGAACTTACAGCAAATCCAGGAAATTCCTGGTAAATCCAGTTAAATGTCGAAATTGGCTTTGTGGTGATTTTGTGATCTGTACTTATCTCATGAATATTTGATCGCATTACATTGTTTCAACACTGATGTTCCACAGTGCACTACAAGCAGGGGAACTGCCTACTGGCTTTACATAGAACAGAGGAACTGCCTACTGGTTGTACATAGAGCCTTGGAATAGATCTGTACTATTTGATTTTTGTTGATTTTGCCAAAGGCAGACAATTCTTAGTCTGATTATTTATGGCAATATGAATAAATAACCTAAGTATTTCAACGGCAGACGATCACATATTGGATACGTTACGGTTTCTTCCCTGATATAGGCGTGTGCTCTTTAACTTTTTCCAACTTTTTATTCAAGTTTCTAATTGCCTAAATTTCCTTGCCGAAGGAACTAAAATAGAATTTAAATGATTTTTGAGTTCAAATGTGTTACAAAGTTTTAAGCTGCATTAGTCATACTTTGGGGTTTCTTTAAGTTTCTTTTTGTTTCTAATGATAGGAATGCGTCTTTCATGAGAAATATATCAGCAGGTTGAATATCAACAGGAATATTTTGTGAAGTCTCGGATAATAAACTGTATGGTCCATTCACTGATGACTGAGTGAGTGAGTGAGTGAGTTGGGTTTTACACCGCTTTTAACAGTATTCCAGTTATACCACGGCATGTCAGCTTAATGTGGGAGGAAAGCCCGAAGTAATGCAGGTCTCAGACGTTTACCACTTCGGTGAAACCCACGAGCACAGGTATGGTGCTGACAAACCTAGAAACATAATTGGAGCGAACCGGGATTTGAACCCACAATCATAGGTTTCTGGCATGCCCAAGGGATGCAACTCTGCACAGCGAATCGCGGCGCCTTAGACAACTGGGCCACCCGTGCCCCCCACTGATGACTGAATGTCCACAGGGATCTCCATGCTGGCCATTCAGTCTTTTGGTGTTTAGTAAAACCAGAAAACTGTTTATTAATCTCTAAAATCATTGTTGAATGAGTGAGCGAGTGAGTATGGTTTTACGCCGCTTTTAGCAATATTCCAGCAATATCACGGTGGGGGACACCAGAAATGGTGAATCGCATCATTGTTGAATGTAATGATACATTATTATTTCTTTTGTACCACTGTGTTTGAAGATGTCTTACATGACGCTAAGCTGTTGCCTGGCTGATTTAGTGTAGCATCAAACCCTGAAGTGTACACTGTTGCTCATACTCTCAGTCACTGGGGTGGGGGTAGCCAAGTGGTTAAGGTGTTTGCTCATCCTGCCATGACTGAGTTTGATTCCAAATATTGGTTCAATAAGTGAAGCCCATCCTGGTGTCATGAATAACTGGAGTATTGCTAAAAATGATGTCAAATTATACTCACTTACTCATCCTTGCTGTGCAATACCTGTATACTTATACAGTCGTGCCCCGCTTATACGGACTTCAGATATCCTGAAATCTCGGTTCCCGGACGATTTTCATTCAAAACGAAATAATTACTATATAAATTTACCCGTATATACGGAAATTCAGTTTCCGGAACCGGACGGTTATTTTCATACACAAAACACTGAAATGCACACAAAATTGTCTCACTTATCCGGACAATACACTTCCGCTGGTGGTAATCCTTCCGCTGGTGGTAATCCTTTGATTCGTAAGAAGTCAATTAACCAAGTGACACTGAGTTACGTTTGAGAAGAGCTTGTTTATTGTACATGTAGTCCCCTTCGACAAATATGGCGTCTGTGGAGGTCAGAGGTCAAAGTTGTGTACGTATGGCCTGTCAACCATCAAAACGTAAGCGACACGCAGTTACATCACGCGAAAAAAGGGAAATTTGTCTGTTTAAGGAAAAACACCCATCAGCAAGTTTAGAAACCATCAGTAAGCATTATGGCACTGAATTTGGACATGCCATAGGAAAATCGACAATTGGTGACATGACAAGTCGCAATGTGCCTGTTAATTGAAGGGAAGTAACTCTTCCAGTAAGAAGCTGGTTTCAGTTATACGGAAATTCGTTTATACGGACGAATTGTGAAATGACGCAAGTGTCCGTATAAACGAGGCACGACTGTATACTTATATAAGCCAGATGCCGACCAAGACTTTTGATTTGTGACCCCATCCTTTATAAGTTTTCATGTACTACTCATCCATGAGGATCTGGGTTAGAATTGGCCTTCAGCAACCCATGTTTATCATATAAGAATAAAGGGATTGGGTGGTCACCCTCCCTGACTCGGCTGAAGCATCCATTCTATCCCAATCTCATAGATCGATGCTCATGATGTCAATCACTAGATTTTCTGGTCCAGACTCATATATGTACAGTGAGTGAGTGAGTGAGTGAGTTAATATTTAAAGTCACATCGGCAATATTTCAGCCACATCGTGACTAAAGCAATTAATACATTAAGAAAACACATATATGTACAGACTGTCATCATATAGCTGGAATATTGCTGAGTGCAGCTTTAACAACAAACAAACAAGAATATACTACTCAATTGATGTTAAAGAACACCCAATTTCTTCACATGACAGATTACTGTAGTCTTGGGAAAAATCAGGCGTTCTTTAACTTCTGTTGAGTAGTATAAAAAAATTAAATGTTTCTTAATTGATTAAAATAAATTTCAAATTTCTTTTCAGGCTTCCATCACCTTTTAAGCATAGCAACAAGAACCCAGCCTCTATAAGTAACCTTTCTACCTCTAAAGACAGCTCCAACAGCAACTCAAACCTCAACCAGTCTCGTGGGAAGCCCACACTCCACGGGGCAAACTCCACGTCGAACGATAAAGTGCGGTCACATCTGAATCAACAGAATAATAATAATAATTTGCAAGGTAAGAAATTGCTTCATGATCATGTTTCTCCATTTCTTTTACAGTTTTCTCTTTCAGGAAGCATGGTTGGCACAGTTGATGGAGATACATCAATGTCAGTTTGTTCTTGCTTGGATGATCAGGTTTTGTTCTGAGGCTGAATGTTATTGATTGTTTCATTGGTGGTAGATGGTAAATATTCAGCATTACTGTAGTTCATTGTGTTTATTTGTCTGCTGTTGTTGTCAACAGTATTCTTTATGGTCAATGGTCAGGGGGGTTTTCTGTTCAAGTTCAAGTAATATATGATACATAGGTTTGATGCTGATGCTTAGACTAACATCTAGTCTCTGAAATGAACATATCATACAGAAAAAAAATAGTTGTTAAATTACCTAAATAAAAATTTAATAGAAAGAAGCTCTCTTCATTTTCTGCAGAAATCTAGACTTGCCAAACATTATAGACTTGCACGGGCTGTATTTGATATATTTGTATCAGTGTCTGCAAAACAGCAAGGTGATACTCCATTTCCGGTTTTACAGACAAGGTGCTTTTTGATTTACACAGATTCACTTTTACTTTCATTTCTTTTTATGACAAATATCCCATCACGCAAACAAGTATTTGCTTTGGCCACAACTGTTGATCAGAACTGCAAATTCTATTTTGGTGGTGATTTTATTTTTGTGCAATTTTATCTTGACTAATTAGTTACAAGCTTATCTCCCTTCCAATAGGACAACCAAGGTTTATAACAAAGAATAAATGCTTTAATTCAATTTATTTAATTATGTTTTTAATTAACCCCTCATCTTTATTTATCAGTAATATTTATCAAATCAAAGCTGAAACAATAAATATAAAATGCATATATCGACCATGTATTTTTACGTGTATATTTTCAAGAATAATTTGAAGTCAAATATCATAATATATTTGTCAGTCACTTCACTTTTGACCTAAACAAGTATGCCACTCATTTTGCAGTAAAAATGTTTTAGCTGTTTGAATAAAGTTCATGTGCCCTTAGAAATCCCTCCTCATGGCCAGACTTCCTTCACCTTGCATAAAAAAATAGTTCAGGACGTTCACCTACCTTCAAGATAAGAGGATTAGATCGTCGAAACCAAACAATTATCTATTACACAAAAAGTGGAAAGTAACGTCAAATAATTGATTGTTTGAGTACTTTTTACCCCCTGGCTAGTAACCTACAACCCTTAGTGTCTGCGTCAATATCATACTTAATCATAGATTCCAGCAATATTTACTTGTAGATTTCATGTCTAGACATTGGATAGTGTGTATTCTTTTTAAATCAGGGCTGTCTTGTCAAGTAAAAAACAACACGCTTGCTTTTAGAAGATCAGGGAGTAAAGCCTGACTTTTAAAGATCACTAGGACCTTGGATCAAATGATTGCTTGTTGATTTGTGCTATGGATCTTAAGGCCTGTCTTGAGAGGGTTTGAAATAGATGATACTGAGGTATATCACTTGAGTGGTGAAGTATACTGGTTGTTTTGATACAGGGTGCTGTCCTTTGAGGGATGTAATCACTAAAGGAAGACTTGACATTTCGTTAAGCTACCATGTTGCAAGCCTTTATTGCGAATAAGCCCTTTAGTTTTACTTGGAACTCTTGAAATTGAAATGTGATATGGTACTTGTCACAAGATGACAAGGCAGTATTTTCTGCCTGGTTAAGACTACTGTAATCGAATTCATAGTGATTCTGTAATGTATTTTGAAATTTTTGAGTCTCAAATATATGCTCTTGTGATGTACATGGTTTAATACCAATGATTTGATAGATGAAACAGAAATTCGATTCCCGACATGGGTACAATGTGTGAAGCCCATTTCTGGTGTCCCCCACTGTAATATTGCCGGAATATTGCTAAAAGTGGCGTTAAACCATACTCACTCACTCATCTTGAAATAGACAAGACTTTTAATGTAGATTTCAGTCCAAACTCGTTCCTGTTGTGGTGTGAGGGAAAATTACAAAATATTTGTGTCCTTGATAATAAATACCCTTTATGCATAGGCATATTTCTGTTTAGATTTGACTTGTTGGGTTTATTGAGGTTCACGTTCCCATATGTTTTTGTTTTTTAGATGTCCATTTAGGTCACACCAACTTTTCCTAGTTTAGGAGTACATTTCAAATATGTTGCAGTCATGAGATTTTATTACAGCCGTTAGAAGATATGTTTTGAAAATTGAAATTAAATCGCTATGAAACTTCAATATCTTAAATTGAAAGTAAATTCTTAATTTCTTAACATTTCAAATTCCTTTCCGTGTCACACAACATGACAATTTTTAAAGTACTATGATAAGTCCACAAATGAATAAAGCTACTTTTCTTGACGAGTGATTTTCAATTTGTTGAAGTGAATGCTTATTCAGTGTATAGAAATCAGACTGCCGTTTACATCTACAAGAATACATTTAAAGATCACAGGGGTTGTGGGAATTTGTAGGGTAAGGTATCACCACGATCTAAATTACATTGTCAATTTAATAAAAATGTCTGTTTCTATGAAACAAGTTTGACAGGGGTTGGTGATAGGTACAAAGGCACCCTTCGCTCGGTTTATTATTATAATTATACTCATAATGTTGAGATCATTTTGTGAGGGAAATCCTTGACACCAAGAAACATGAAATTGCAGTTCTGTTTATTTTCTTCTGCACGATTAGTTGTCATAACAATAATTCAACCGTGAGACATTTCTCGGTGAATGTGAGAATTGGTATGACATATTTTCCACTCCTGTAGATAGTGTTGCCTATTTGGAACTAATTTGAAATATATTATCTATAATGAGCTACATTTGCCTGCATATTAACATCGATCGTCAAACCAAACACAAAATATGGAATCTAAAGGTAGGTGTTTTATGAGGTTGTGATATAAAATGTTTGTTTTCTGAAGAAATGTAAATGAATTCAATGCTGTTTTTTTTCAATACAGAGTACCTTGAGAACTCTGGAACAAAATATGTTCCCAGTACCCAATGCTTGTAATGTGACCACTTTGAAATAGGGACTTTGTGGTAAATATTGCTGATGAGTGATAATCTCACCCAAGTGTCTCTTGATATCAAATATATCAACACAGGTCATTAAAAGTGTTGATATACTGTAAATCTTGATATTAACGCAAGCGTGAATTAAATGCGAAAAATGCAAGTGGTCTTTGCTCGCATTATTTAACATCGAATTGATATCAACAATAAGACATTTTGGATAGCATAAATACCAACTTAGACATACGCTAAAAACAAACAACTATGTATTCCACATCACTGTTTATTGAGCAGCACTTGTTACAGGTATATAAACAATGTCATTCAAATACTAATTTCATCCTGTGAATTGTCACTGCTGGGGTCAAGACAACTGTTCTACTCACTCATGTCATCACTGATCACACCTGCAAGTCCAGACAGACGCCACCCAACACGGTGTCTTTGCTCTTTGCGACTGCATCAAAGGCCGACATGAGACAGTGTGCACGTATTGTTTTAGCGGAAGTACAGCTCTGCTCAGCGCTAATAAGCGGTGCTATTTGGTGTGTGTTAGGATTAATGTAAGGTTGGATTAAGGTGAGGATTCTCCTGTAAACCTGACAGAGGACAGTTTTAGATATAAATCCACCGATGCTTGAGAGGAGTGGGCCCGATGTTGCATTCATATTGAGTTGCATTTTTAGCTAGGGGCCAGCAGTCGCATTCTTTTGGAGGTGCATTAATTTCACGTTTTACGGTATTTGATATCAAAAGACACAAGGGTGGGATTCTATGAATCAAAATCATTCTTCCAAATTTTTCAGTTTGTAAACAATAATCACCAGCTGAGTGCCTTGAGTGTACACATACAGCTGACCAGCTTCAGTGGCAAAGAGATACAGGATGTCATTTGATTGTGATGTCATGGTTAATGATGATGTCACAATGGTCTGCAAAGCATTGTGATGCAATTCATTGCTTGGTCCCACCCAAGTGATAGATCTAGTGGAGGCCAGTTTTGGATTATAATAGAGATTATTGTACAAGCATGTGTGTTATACTGGTTTTATGAAGCTTTAGGCAGAATTCTGGTATTTTCCAAGCGAGAACATTGGTAATACACAAATTCTTACACGAGTTTCATAAAATCAAGGATGACACACATGCGAGTGTAATAATTTCTTTAGTACCCCTTATTTCATAAACCTTTTGAGTTCCTTTTAGACAAATACACTGATCATGACCACTGTCCAAGAAAACCACAATTTTCGAAAGATGTCAACAATCTTCATCTTTGACGTCGTTTTTTTGTGTGACGTCATAATGACCTTATGTCGCAATAAGATTCGAATGACGTCAACAATGACGTCCAGATGACGAAACAATACACTGATGCGCATGAAGTGATATTTGCACTGGTGCACATACGATATTTATGAAACTGTTACATTGATTGATACATTGCTCTGTAACTAGGATTTGTTAATCCAGACATCTGTTAATTCAGGTGGTTTCAGTGGGAATAGCCCTTGAAGATCCGGGGTAGAATAGGACTTCAGCAAACCATGCTTGCCGTAAAAGGCGACTATGCTTGTTGTAAGAGGCTACTAATGGGATCATGTGGTCAGGCTCGCTGACTTGGTTGATGCATGTCATCGATCCCAATTGCTTAGATCGATGCTCATGATGTCAATCACTGGATTGTCTGGTCCAGACTCGATTATTTATAGACTGCTGTCATATAGCTGGAATATTGCTGGGTGCGGCATTAAACAACAAACCAACCAATCAGTGGGAATGCAAGTGTCTGGCTTATCAAGGTTTCACTGTCTCAGATGCGTATGTGGGCCATGGAATGGGTATCTTTGCCACAGTATGAGTAGACTTGTTTCAAGAAAATAGGGGATGCCCAGTTATATGCCGCGGATGTTTTCAAACAGATTGTTAGAACTCCATTCAGCGATAAACGGTTGATTATGTAATGAGAAGCGTTATGTGCA